GTTTCTTTATATTTTTTCACTTCTAAAAATATGCTCATTTTATATTTTTAGCTAAGTTGGGGAATGGGAGGGAATTAACTAATCAATTGTCTTAAGACTATTACGTGGCTGGATAATTGTTAGCCCAGTTAAATTTTATATTATATATATATATATTTTTTAACCTAATTCAAAATAATATTCCCTCCAAAACTAACATGAACTAGTTGTCGTTTATAATGAAAAGAAAAATCATTGTTACATTCCTAAAAACATTTGTTAATAATAAGATCCATTATATTCACATTGTCTAGAATAACCAATATTTAGATATTTAAATAAATGTCTATGGCTTGAACACAACAATGTCATTTGACAACCTAGATTCACTAACCGTTTTTCATAACACTGTATGATCATTTCTTTCTATTACAAAATCGTACCCAATTATAGCATTGTCATCCAGATATAAAACATTTTTCACTTGTACAATTAGATTTTTCAGAGTATAGAAAACTGAAATTACAATGCTGTAACTGGTACAATTCCTTGTAATAAGTAGAGTGGTATTATAGAAATATAAATGAGAGCATTTAGAAGATTTGAGTAACATGTAGACAATTTAATTATTGAATTCTTTACAGATTGTCATCACCCTGGAGATTTATGGCGTGAAAAAGATTGTGGGGATCCCTTTTGGATATCGTGGATTTGGCAATAAATTATCTGAAATACCAGTGAGTTTGGTTTATGCATTTTCCCTATTTTTTTATTTTTTTATTTTTACCACTATGGTCCTTCCATGCCTTATATACTTATTTGACACCACCCACCCACCTTCTCATTGATTGTTTATGAGTGAATAACTGAATCTGGTTGTTGATTGTTAGTTGTCCAGGAAGGTTGTTCAAAATGTCCATCTTTCTGGTGGAAGCTTGTTAGGAGTTTCTCGTGGAGGCCCAAATGTCAGTGAAATTGTCGATAGCATGCAGGTGTTTCTCTTTCTCATTCATCATCTAAAAATATTTTCTCTTTGTTACTTACAGTTATATAGCAACATACTTTCACTTAATCATTTACATCTTTGCTCCTCAGCAACTAACAACCGAAGAAAAATACAAGTAGAAATAGAATGTTATTAGGTAGATTTTTCCAAGAACAACAACTAATAGAAAGACATGTACATGTAGATAGGTAGGTAGGTAGAAATAGAATGTTATGATAAACAAATACTTAATATTGGTATTTCTTGCATTTATCATTAAATTACTTAAGTCAAGGGTGTGACTTGCGAGTGATATCATATGAATTGGTGGCAGGAAAGAGGAATCAACATGCTTTTTGTGCTGGGTGGTAATGGAACACATGCAGGTGCTAATGCAATACACGATGAGGTAGGTTATTAAGAATCTATCTGTTTGCAGTTTTATGATTTAGCATATATATGTTTATCAGGTGAGATTGCTCAATTATCATTTGAATTGTTTGTTGTGGTTAGTTGATAAAACGAGGGTTAAAGGTGGCTGTAGTCGGGGTTCCCAAAACTATAGATAATGATATTTTGCTGATGGATAAGACATTTGGTTTTGATACTGCTGTAGAGGAAGCACAAAGAGCCATCAATTCTGCATACATTGAGGTACTAATTTCATTTCATCATATTATTGTTTCTTTAAATTCTCCTCTGTGGGTACAACACATAATAATTTATTGTTATTATTTTTTTTTTTTGCAGGCGCATAGTGCTTATCGTGGTGTTGGAATTGTAAAATTGATGGGGCGTAGTAGTGGTTTTATAGCTATGCAAGCAGCTCTTGCTAGTGGCCAGATTGATATATGTTTGATTCCTGAGGTATTTTGCTTGAATTGTTTCACATACTTATTTTTTTATCTAGTCATTAACACAAAATGTATATTTTTTTTTTAATCAAAAATTAAAGGTACCCTTTGAGTTGCATGGGCCACATGGTGTCCTAAAACACCTAAAGTATCTACTTGAGACAAAGGGATCAGCTGTCATCTGTGTAGCAGAGGGAGCCGGTCAGGTTAGTTCTAACTGCATATAATTTAATTATAGTTTTTCATTTACAAAAAACAAATAAGATTATAATAAAATGTATATATATTGTTTTTAGAAAATAGATTAAAAATTGAGTAAATTACTGAATCGTTCCTATGGTTTGGTTAAAATTGCACGTTTGGTCCCTAACTTTTCTTTTGCACTCGGATCGTCCCTGTGGTTTGATTTTGTTGCATTTTTCGTCCTTGTGGTTTGATTTTGTTGCGTTTTTTGTCCCTTACATACATAAAGTTAGGGACCAAACATGCAATTTTGACCAAACCACAGGGACGAAAAATGCAACAAAATCAAACCACAGGGATGATCCGAGTGCAAAATAAAAGTTAGGGACCAAATATGCAATTTTAACCAAACCACAGGGACGATTTCAGTAATTTACTCTTAAAAATTTGTAAAAACAGACACCTTGTCATTTCTCAACTTACAATTTGTAATATTGTTTTGTATAGAACTTTGTGGAGAAAACAAATGCTAAGGATGCATCTGGGAACGTTGTACTTGGAGATATTGGCGTTCATATACAACAGGAGGTACTTTGGAAACTCCTTTACATCCATTTTTTTTTTTGAATAAATTTACTTGATCGTAGCAGTGAAATTGGCTATGACTTTGCTATAAATATAACTGGACAGGAAGAAGCAAAAGTCAGATAGTAGATGTTGCTATTTCTAAGCCTGTGATGAAATGATATTTGTTTTTTTAGATAAAAAAATATTTCAAGGAGATTGGGGATCCAGCTGATGTGAAATACATTGATCCTACATACATGATCCGTGCCTGCCGAGCAAACGCATCAGACGGAATCCTCTGCACTGTGCTGGGTCAAAATGCTGTAAGTTTAGTTTATTTTCAATCATCCAGTCCTTGACCTTGTTTGTAAGTTGTACATATATATAATTTTTGATGGTTTGTTGCTACAGGTCCATGGTGCATTTGCTGGATATAGTGGCATTACAGTGGGCATATGCAACACTCACTACGTCTACCTTCCTATTCCTCAAGTCATATCTTATCCCAGGACAGTCGACCCAAACAGCCGCATGTGGCATCGTTGCTTGACATCTACTGGCCAGCCCGATTTTATTTAATCCAACAATCAATTTTGTTCCTTCATTACATTTACATAAATGATAAACAAGACTCAGAAATAATACACATTCATTGTGCTTCCGACAACTAACGGCAAATAATTTACACTAGCAGACCCAACCAACTATGGGAAGTGCACTGCAGTGTTGGTTGATGTAGAATTTTGTTTACTTAGTAGTTAGGTGTATCCTTTATCCTTTTTGTAATAAGGATTATTTTTGTTGTAATAAGGATTATTTTTGTTTAACAAAACTAACTTGTTTCATTATTTGCTTGCTTCAACAAGTAACTATATTTTCATCGTATGCTGTTGATGTACTAAATATTCAGGTTATTAGACCATCCATACAACTGCAATACAATGATGTTGCTTTTTTAACCACTTTATATACTTTAACAAATGTTTTACTCATTTATAATTAACAATTTTTCTATAGTTACTAACATGAATATATTGTTTATCACGATGAACATTTTTTTTAATATAAATAAAATTAATTTTTATTTTTTATTTTTTATTATTTTTTTGTATATAGCACAAGTTATTTCTAAAAATGTTGTGTATATATATATATATATATATATATATATATATATATATATATATATATATATATATATATATATATATATATATATATAGGGAAAAGTGAATATACCTTTAAGGGTATATAAACTTAGGTACCCAAACACACCATATTAAGTCGTTTTGTATAATATAATATATTTTAATTGTCCAATGTTCTTATAATTTAACTTCCAACTTGATGTACTTTCAAGATTTTTGTAAATTACACATTTATGTTCCTCTTACATAGTTTTCATTTTCAACTATAATATATATAGCCTAGTAGATGTTCGACAAAAAAGTGTGATTCTTTTTTTTTTTTGGGAAAGAGGCCGAAGCCCCGGCAAAGAAAAAAGTGTGATTCAAGAGAAAGATAATAGTAAAATTTCGAATATCTTAAAAGTAAATCAAGTTAAGGCTGAAGTTTAAGAGCATTATAATAAATATATCAAAGAAAATTACGTATTATGATATGTTTGTGTATCTAAGCTTATATACCTTTAAGGGTATATATATATATATATATATATATATATATATATATATATATATATATATATATATATATATATATATATATATATATATATATATATATATATATATATATATATGGGTTCATCACATAACCAGAAAACATGATCTAAACATATAACCACCTACATCACCATTAAATCAAATTGAGGGCATAACCAGAAAACATGATCTAAACATACAACCACGTGCATCACCATTAAATCAAATTGAGGGCATAAGGGCAATGATCATCAAAAACTTTGATGTTCATAAATGAACAAAAGTTAATATTCCAAAATGAAATTACACATGTTCATTAATGTAAAATCCATTATTATATGCCGTTTAAAAATACTAAAACGACAAAATTGCAAAAATGTTCCTGTGATATGCATTTTTTTGGGGTTTTAGTTCAAACCCCAACTTTTTTGGATTCGTGGTGCTTTTGGATATGTTTGTACGTAAATTTGGTTCCTCATAAAATTGAAATGACTATAATGACGTTCATATATATATATATATATATATATATATATATATATATATATATATATATATATATATATATATATATATATATATATATATAATGTTTTTTCTATTTTTTTTTTATGTTTGTATGCAATTTACAACTCTCTTAGATTAACAAATCTCAAACCTAAACTCCCTTCATCTCTCATCTTCAAATCGCAGACACCAAAACCACTTACCCAAAAACCCAACAGAAGATACTAGATAACATCCCTCTTCACCGGAATCATGTAAGATATGGGAAAAGTCAGGGAACTAGGTTTCGACGAATCTAACGAATCATTCGACATGGAAATCCATTCGCTGATCGTCCATGAAGACGTCAACCTCGGCGGCAACATAATGGTAAATGGCACTTGTTTAACAGTCACAGAATTCAACTCCGAGCGATTAAAATTCAAAGTCGGGTTGGCTCTTGAAACATTCATTAATCGAATTGGAAAAGGTTGCAGTTGTTAATTTGGAGAGAGCTGTGAAACCATCGACACGAATAGGTGGATGTTTCTTGCAGGGGCATGTGGATGGAACAGGTGAGATTGTTTCAATGGAGGTGGAAGGGGATTCGTTGTGGATTAAGGCGAAGATGTCACCAGAGATTTTAAATTTTATAATGGCGAAGGGGTTCATTGCTGGGGATGGAACTAGTTTGACGGTGGTGGATATGCTTGATGAAAAGGAGTATTTCAAATTCCTGTTGGTGGAGTATACACAACAAAAAGTTGTGATTCCACTGAAGAAAATTGGGTTGAAGGTGAATCTTGAAATGGATATATTGGGGAAATATGTAGAGAGGCTTCTTGGCAATGGATTTGTAGAGTGTATAGAATCACCATGATCAGGTGCTCCATTTTCTTTCCAGGTTGTAGTTTGAATATGATATGCAATGTTTATTTTGTGTAACAAGTGTGAGTTTCTTTCATTTATAGAGAGAGATATGTGTTTATAGTTTGTTTATCTTTTATGGGTTGATATACTCAGTTCACTATAAACAATACTCTGATACCAATCTATCACGCCCCCAAACTGAATTAGCGGAAACATTCGGGGGCGGAGGACGTCATGTACAATATCGTAACAATGCATAATAGTAAACAAGCAACAACATCATCCATTGCATTAATAGTATAATTCAATACAAGTGTGTTCTGTGCAATAATTATAAGACACCAAAAATGAATAATCAAAATAAAGACGAGTCTTGAAAGTGCTCCATCTTCTCTAAAACCTTCCATCTGTACCTGTCTACTGGTGGCTTGAGAATACAAGTTATTTTGAAAGAAAGGACTAGCATTTAAACTGGTGAGTTCATAAGTATTTAGTGTCAAATGTTGTATAAAGCTTGAAAAAAGTGTTTGTAAATGTTTGTATCCTCTAGAAAATCCTATATTTTCTACTAGAAATGTAGCCTTCTACCAAGGCCTGAATGTTCTTTATGTTGTTTGTTTGTAAAAGTGAATGTTTTTCCCTAGTATGACTATCATTACCAACATATAGTTTTATATTACCATTTATGTGAGAATATCACAAAGTGAATGCAATGGGAAAATAATAATATACTGTAATATTGTATATAGTAACTACTGTTGTACTAACTACCTTAAAACAATTGTTAATTAAGGTATAATGTGATATGATTGTAACCATGCTTGACCGACTAGTAGAAAACATGACGCTCGAAGACATCGAAATGTTATGACATTCATCACTTGTAGACCTGTAGATCCTACTATAGCTAGCAGCAAGGTGTATGATGGTCAATCCAATATATACACAAATTCACGCTCTCCCTCCAGGAGACTCCGGTTACAAAACGTGACACAACAGTATGATTCCATGCCACGAAGTAGTGGCTCACATTAATGTTATAGTATTCTTGTATCTGTATAGTATGTTCTCTCTGTCCTAGTCTATTGTATGTTCTCTTTGTATAGTATATATTATGTTCTATTTGTATAGTGTATAGTATGTTCCTCCTTGTTTCTCATTATAGTATGTTCTTTCTGTTTCTCGTTATAGTATGTTCTTTCTGTTTCTTATTATAGTATGTTTGAACTGAATCATGTATGAACTGACTCTTGTATGTTTCATTGTAGTAGAAATAGTGAGTAGTAATCTCCTAAACTATACCTATTATAGTTTACTAGTAATGTTATTTGGATGACTGAGTATGTTTGTACACCTTTGTTACCTAGAGGCATTGAACTAATGTAAGAACTTTTATGTCTATACATATATACACAATATATAACTAAGATTCAAATGACATTCAGACAAATAACCGATACCCTAAGTCCACAACCAAACAAGGAGCAGGAAATAAAGCGAGTTATCAGCCCTAAGTCCTTTCAACCTTATTTATATAACTATATCTGAATAGACATGATTTTGACAATATATATGTTTAAAAGAGTCTGATAAAGAGTTTTAGCATATAAAAGAGTTTGATAAAATGTTTTGAAATAGTTGTTTGATAACATAGTTTTGAAGTATAAGAAATCCTTCTGTTTGATAGTTATTAATCACATGTGATTGATATAATAACTATAATGTTTCAACTTGTATTCCCCCCATAAAAGCATTTAAAATCATTTAAAAGGTAAATTAGGGGTATGAACTTACCTGTAGTGAGTGGTTTGATTGTAATATCGGAAAAGGATGTTGAATGCTAAGTGGAATCTCGGGAACAATCGGATCCTATTAAGCATATAAAGACACATATATGGACATAATTAGTGTATATACAACTAATCATGCAAGGAAACCACCTTAGGGACTAGGGAACACTTAGATTGAAGTGTTACAATCACATATGATTGCATCAAAGGGAGTTTACAGCCACACCAAGGGGTTCACGACCATGGAGTTTACGGCCATGGTGTTTACGGCCAAGGGGAGTTTTTGGTCATGGAGTGTACGGCCGAACACTAATTTAAAGAGCTTGCAAAGAGTTTCTTTATGGTCCTATCTAGCATCCAATAAGTGTTCACGGTCCTAGGTTTGGACATAAAGTGAGTTTGAGGCCAAAACATGCACCGGCACAAGGGTTTACGACCATGCAAGGGTTTACGGCTGTAAACTCTTGATGTTCACGCACTATATGATGATTCAAGGCTAGAATCAATTGTTTATCAAGCCTAACTAGGAGATAGAAGAGATACTTACACTTTTGGAGGTTCATAGGTAGTTCACGGCCCAAGAACAAGTGTGTGTTTGTGACAACCCGATATTTCGAGACAATGAAATGTAACACCAGTCAAATATAGGTAAAAAATTTAACTTACCTAAAATCTTATTTGGGTTAAATAAAGTGGTGGGAATCGTATCAAGGTGTTCGTGCATATAAAGAACACTAAAATCCGAGTTATAACGAAGAAGTTATGACCAATCTGAGATTCACAGCAAAAACCGGCAACACTGATAGAAGTAAAACGCGAAGTTTCAATATAATAATTTTTAGCCTTAGGTATCTAAATGAAAGTTTTATATATCCCAAAACCGTAAGCATACATAAAAAAGAATGCCCAAATCTGATTTCATATGAGGAAGTTATGATTTTTCGAAGTTTCAGACATAACAGTAGACAACTAAAAACTCGAAATCGAGATCGAGCGGCTTTTTGCCAACATGACCTAAACGAGAATCGAAGATCTCATCAATGGTATTACAACGGTAAAAAGTCTGGCAAAAACGGACATCAGATGAAGGAGTTATGGAATTTTAACGGACTTTTCCTGTCCCGGCCTATTAAAAATATAATATTAAAAATAAAGTCAAATTTAGCCGACGGAGTCTAAACGAAAGTTGTAAATCGTAGTATCACCTACGCGTGGATATAAAGAAGAAAACGGAGTTCGTATGAGGAAGATATGAATTTTTGAAGTTTATTAAATAATTAAAATATTAAATTTAATTATAAATACCCGATATTATCCGTAGGAGGAGGAGTCACCAGTCTGATCCGGATTACGCCCAACGTAATGCCTCAGTACGCCCAGCGTAATCCAAGGATTCAGACCCTATATAAAGGGTGCGAGGGTTCCGGGGTTATTTGCTAATTTCTTCTCTTTCTCGTGCTGAAGCTCTGCGTTTAAACCCACGGAGCCATCCCGAAGTCCCGGTTGTCATATTCAAGTTTGGAAGGAAGTTTTATGTAACATCCCGGAATCGCAAGAGTAGAGTTGAAGGGATAAAAGTGTAAGTTTCGGAGGGCGACTCGATGAGTTCATGGATGGACTCGGCGAGTCAGGTCGCGACTTTGGTCGCGTATCAAGTGGCCTACTCGGCGAGTCCACAGATGGACTCGGCGAGTAGGTGCTGTGTGGAGAAAACCCTAATCCTCGGGGTTGAGCCATATATAAAGATCATTAAGTTCCTCCACAGCCTCCTTTATCACCCCCCTTGAGTCCCAGAAACCCTAAAATCGTGGAGAGCACCATTGTTGAGCAAATTGGAGCTTGGAGAGGTGTGGGTTGAAGAAATCTTGAAGGAGAAGAGGCTTGGATCAAAGGGCTTTGCTTGGATTCGAGTTTCATTGCTGTTGAGGCATTCTTTGGAGGTAATACTTTCGTTCTTGGGCTGTGTTTTCCTAGATTCTCATTTTGGGGTTGTGTGGGAAGCTTAGTTGGGTGACATCTTGAGTTTGAAGGATGGATCTGAGGTTGCTACCTCAGATCTGGAGTGGAGAAGATCTTAAGAGCATTAAAGCCCCTGTTCTTGTGTTGTTAATGGAGCTATCATGCCCCAAACCTTAGTTCTAAGGTGAATAAGGCCTAGATCTCTTTAGATTCACGTAAAGTTTGCCACTTTACGTGATGGATGGATTGTAGGAGGTTGGATCTATGTTTTGGATCAATTGCATGGCCTGGAGTGCTTCTGAATTGATTCAGACCGGGTTGACTCGGCGAGTCACATGGGTGGACTCGACGAGTTGCTTGAAGATGGCCTGGAACTCGACGAGTTGGAAGAACAACTCGGCGAGTAGGTTGAAGATAGCCTTAGACTCGGCGAGTCTGTTCTTGGACTCGGCGAGTATTGTCGAAGAGTCCTAATATTTCCTGGTTGAGTCGAGAATCAGTGAGTCAAGGGATGACTCGGTGAGTTGGGTGCGAGTGGACTCAGAGTTGTTGGACTCGACGAGTCTTGGGGTGACTCGGCGAGTTGGGTCACTGATTGAGGGAAGTTCTGAGCATAGGGACTCAGCGAGTCATCGGGTTGACTCGGCGAGTAGGGTCAGTCAGGGTTGACTTTGACTTTGTCCAAGGTTGACCAGTTGTCTTCCAGGGGTATTTTGGTAATTAAGGATATTTAATGAATTGAATGTTTCGGTGTTCAGTGGAGGAGTTCATGTCAGGGTTGGAGCAGCGGGATCTTATCCTTTCAGCCGGCTTTCGAGGTGAGTTATCCTCACTATATCAACAGGGTCTAAGGCACCAAGGCCGGCCCTTTATTGGATTGAGATTCGGATATGGTTATTATGTTACTGTTTGATGTGTCTGCATCCTGGTAGCTAGGATGGTACATGCTAGGAGACCTTGTTAAGGTCAGTTTCCCGATATGTAGAGTGATGCTATGCTAGTGACCGATTAGGTCGGAAACCTGGTTAGGGTAATGATATGCTAAGTGATCTGCTTACTCGGTTGTTGACTATGACTGTTATATGATTGTATGTTATGTGCACATGGTTGTTTGGATGGGAGATGGGTTGAGGCGGGTCCTGCTTTGTGCTGTAGGCCAAGATACCTAGGGCGGACCGGTTATTTCGAAGGCCCAGCGAGCGGTCCGGATAGGCTGTAGGCCCCACGAGGGCGGACCAGATGTGCCGAGGCTCGGAGAGTG